GCGTGTCCATAGGAACACCAATAAACTTTAATAAGCCTTGAAATCAGTTAAACAAAACAAACTTAGGAATAATTTCCATTTCTTTTCCTCGGGGGAAAACTGGCATTGCCTGGTACTGGTATTCAAATACTATAGTATTGAATAAGTAAAACCTATTTAAATCAAGAAGTATTTCAATATTATTATTACCCACGCATCTACTTTGTATCTCCTAACGCTACGAAAGACGCAAACGACACACAAAAAAGACAAAATAAAAGAATATAACCAGTTGAAATGGAATTAGGTAGGTATCATTAATTTTTTTTGTATTTTTGTACGGATTTTGCTTTACGTGGACATTGTATATAAGTAAATTTGCATATTAAATGTATATAAACGTTAAACAGAGTGGACAATCCAAAGACTTGTCAATCTGAAGCTAAGCTGGCACAAAGAACTTGATAAGCTCAACATTTTTTTAATATCTATAAACAAATATGCTAATCCGGCGAGCGATATCGCAACCAAAAACGTCGTCGTTGCACAGTAGGCCCAAAATGATAATTAATATTAGGAACAATTGGTGGAATTCCTGTCAAGCTGATTTTTTAATATGACGAGGTTCACGAAAGGGTCTCTCCGGAAAAGCATAGGAATCGTATACCTACTGGCTATTGGCACACCCTGGGCATCCAACGTGTACGAAGGAGGCAGTACGTCCACCTTCTTCCCCCGCTGTAGTGAGCCGTGGCGACAGGGGTCGGGGGACCCTATCTCCAACCGTATCGTACCTTTGTGTTGACCCGAGGCACTCTCTGAAGGCCGGGGTCCGCTCACGCGGACCATTCCAAACGGTCCAAAATTCCAAAAGGTGACAAATCCGTCACCACAATGCCAAACATATCCCATGCACAATTCTGCATGGCGGCCACTTGTGACGTGGACAGCGTGTGAGTTCTGGGCCGCGATAATATAAGATAAGAAGAATGCTAATGAGCATGCTGAAAACTTTTATTTTTGTTTAACTTCTTTATTGTTTCTGAGAAAAATGTTTTGTAGTTTTTGTTGTATAATAAAATATACATTTTATTCTTTATTCCAAAATGTATTACAGTGTGATGTGTGTGACTTGATTACAAGTCAATTGTTCTCTGCTAAGAAAAAATTATCTCCAAAGTACTTGCAGATTTACACTAAAGGGGCGGCAAATTTTATTTTTTGATGTACTTTTTTAATACAATATACTAGTTTCTACTTATGTATATATAAGTATTTAGTTTTAATTACAACACGATATAATTCTTACCAAAAGTAATAGAACAGTTTCTTGAATGTCCTTCATTAGTAATTCATTTTATGTATTTAGGTTTACTTGTTTAAACATTTTAATTCCTTTCTGTTCTTTTTATGTAAACCGATCGTATAGGACCCCACGGTACAGACCATATATAAGTACAGACATGCTTAGTGCGGGGAACACGGTAATCAGAAAATTGTTGCTATCAATGTGTCAAACAAATTTTATTTTATTTATTTATTTATTATTATATAAAAAATCGGCTCGGTATTTAATAATTGCTCCTAAGATTATGAATTATCAATTTGGCCATCGCAATCGTGTACTACAGTAATCTGTGGTACTACTGTCTGATACAGAGTCTGATGAATAACGAATATACTTTAAATGTGAAAGTTTCGTTGGTACTTCGTTAATAATTTATTAGGTAACAAAAATTAATCCTCTGTTAAACTTTATCTTCCACCTCCACATGCGACGTCGCGCTAATTATGTTTCCTCTATTATTATCGTTATGCAACCATACTTCACCATCAAGACCATCTTGACTCTTGACTCTCGAAAAAGGCATAAAAGGAATTCCATTTGATTCGAACATCATTGAAATGGTGGCTACGGGCATACCAGTAAGCTAATATCCACAAATATAGTGAATTAGATGCAATTTTAAAGACGTAAACCACAGAAGGAAGTACCTTCAGTTGATGTGGAAAACACAACAAACCTCTGAGAAATTATTACCACTTGTCAGGTAGTGGACAAAAAAATGTAATAGGCACAAGGACACCAGCAGCAAGTATTTATCTCCGCAGTGATACTTCAGGGAATACTGATATGATAACCGATTGACAATCTCACTACACACCATAGGAGCAAGTAGACGATGAAAATCAAATCCCAAAGAGAATAGAATAAAATAGAATCATTTATTTCATATTATCAATTTCATAATATCACAATACGAAATATAATGTCAAGGGATAACATGATCGTCATTAAGGTAAATAATAAATTTAATGTTGATATAAAATAAAATAATTAAAAGTGAAATAAAAAAAAATACGAACTACAAAAATACATAGGAAATGAAACTATTTTCCGGATTTAAATCGCGTATATTTGGTTTTTCAAACAAACCGACGTTTCGGGCCCTTTACAGGTCCCATGGTCACAGTTGACTGAGTCTGCGACAGTAACCATTTGGCAGGGGAACTTCAGCACATAAAGCAAGTCCTAAGAAGATGGTTTTTCCGTACCACTAGTTTGGAATCCAATATTTCCTCTTAAGAAAAATCCCAAACAGACATAAGACTGCAGTACTAATTAATATCCTAGCCAGTTAGCCACCGTGGGCAAATCTTTGTTTCAGAGAGCATATGGTGTCTGCGACAGTAATCATCTGGCGGGGGAACTTCAGCATATAAAGCAAGTCCTACATGCGAATAAGTTGAAGATTCCACGCCAATGCCGCAGGCCACGTATGAAACCACCAACAGTCGAGCGAAGATCTTACCTTACGTGAGAAGTGTTACAGACAAGATCGGAAGAGTCCTCAGGCGTGCATCTATCAAGAGCTATTTCAAGCCCCTGAGGAAGATTTCTCAGTTAGTGAGACCCGTGAAATGTAACATCCCCTTACAGGATGCAGGAGTTTACAAGCGTGACTGTGAGTGCGGTCTCTCTTATATTGGACAAACAAAGCGAAGTATTTGTACCCGCGTTAAAGAACATATAGCTGATGTCAAACACCGTCGCGTAAACAAGTCTGCAGTCTGCGAGCATGTTATGGATAAACCAACACATTCAATGAAGTTTGACAAACCCCAGGTCCTTGCAAAAGAAGTCCGTTATCTACCCAGGAGGCTGCGAGAGGCCATTGAAATTAAAAAACATCCTAATTTCAACAGGGAAGATGGTTTCTCCGTACCACCAGTTTGGGATCCAGTATTTCCTCTAATGAAAAATCCCAAACAGACATAAGACTGCAGTACTAATTAATATGTTTTAGTTTATTCTAATTTCTATTAATAATTAATAATAAATTGAAATTAATAAAAATTCATTCAATAAAATAATTTGTAAAACTTAATATAGCGTAAATTGGAATGTTTTCCTTGTAAAATTAAAAATAAGGTATTTAATTAATAACTAGTGTAACTATAGTGAAAAAAACTGGATTGCATCAATATTAGACGTAACTGGTTGAAGACTGTACCACCTCAGTCAACCGTGACCATGGGACCTGTAAAGGGCCCGAAATGTCGGTTTGTTTGAAAAAACAAATATACGCGATTTAAATCCGGAAAATTGTTTCATTTCCTATGTGTAACAATCGCGAAAACCTAAGAACTCGATACAAAAATACAAATAAAAATTTAAATATTTTTAAAATACAAACGTCCAAAATTAAAAATATAATTACAATTTCTTTAAAATAAATTCCTCGACACTGTAGAATTCATAATCCATTAAAAGGTCTTCCAGTCGGGGAATGCCACGAAGAGATAAGTAATTGGATCGAACTGATTTTTGGACTAGGATCAATTAGCATTTTCGATAATGCTGGTCCATTTATAGTACGTTTTAAGCATATACCTAAATCATCAATAGCTGATAACTAAAATACCTGGAATTATAATGAGAACTGTCGTTACCCAATAAGTTGTAAAATTGAACTACATAGCATATTATTTTAAAGTCTCCTTCCTTCTAGAAACAATTAAACAAAAGTACAACTGATCAAATAAAAAAATCCATTTCATGCAATCAATTGTCATTCATAAATACTTCATGCTTTAGTTGAGGGTTTAATGGTCTGACGAGATAAAAAGAAAATGTAAAAATAATGATAAAACGCGGTTAAGTGACAAAATAACTTTTTCAGATATCATAGAAACTATAACCCGTTTTCAGAATATTGAAATTGTTTAATGCTACTTCAGCTTTGCATCGTTAGGGTAAGTCGAACACGTTAACTAATTCTAACTGTTTTTAAAAGATAATTTTGTGCTCTGTTTTTTTGCTATGCAAAACGGTTATTTCACCATTTGTCATTTAGACGCATTTTAGTTGGTGGACAACCGCATAGACAAGGCAACGTGTAAAAAAATTAGTTGCTGTTACTGACGAGCTGGCAACGGTGCCACAAGCGGCCATTCTGTACAAAATTATCGAGATTATGTACGTTTCTTGTACACGTCTATTAGAAAAAATACCCATGAATATGCGTGAATTCTTATTGTACTAAACAAAAGTCTTACAAGTTTAAATGTTGTTTACGTTATTATTATCACCTACCAAAACTAATGTAAAAGTGTAATGAAAAATGTGAAGTAAATTAAGCTAAGTTCCGTTTGAGATGTTATTCGGAATCTCCAATACCTCTATATTCGGCAAAGTGAATAAATAACTTGGTTGTTTGTCAGAAGCACGTATTGGTTTGACGCAAACTAGTATGCCATATGTATGTAACATACAAAAGCGAGAACAGGTGTAACATCATTCGTACGTTAAAGACAAAATAATTATATTCATAAATAACACAATTTCAATAATAATTCTTGTCAATGGACTCGTTTCAAATTATTGACGTTTTATAAGTAATTATGTAATATAACAATTTTCAGTGTAGTAAGAAAATAAGTTCTATGCCAACAATGTGAATAAAGACGTGTAGTGACCACACAATCCCAATAAACATAACAATTTGCGAAAATCTAACCTGTGATCAGTAGCACTGGCAGCAAAAACAAACTGAGAATTGTAGACGGCGCTGAACATAATGGGCAGCATGAAGAAGCAGTAGGTCTTGACTTGGTATCGGCCAAACTGACCAACCTGCGACAGGATCGCATCAAGATCTATATTACCCTCACTGGTCATGGTAACTGGAGCGTCACAACACTTGTTTCTATCGTTTTGTAGTTTGCTGCCCTAGTACAGGCAACTGAGTTTCACGAGTGCGCGTGAGTTTGGTCAAGCGTACATGGTGCGCAGGCGACTAACGGCTGCAGCTCGCGGCGGTGGTGTGTTGTCTGCCGACGCCGGCGCTCTTTGAGTAACAGATATCTTCCTGATATCGTCGTCGTGTGGGGATCGTACGATCATCGCGACGCGACGTCACCGCCAGGCTGCGCTGTTTCTTGTATATTCGCAAGGTCCGCAACATCATTTCATCATGTGGCATTCTGACATAAGTACGTACTTAATTATGTATACTAGACGTTAGGTAATTGTCTGCAATCTACAACTTGAATTGACTAAAAAGTTTCGAAGAAAAAAAATCGTAGAGAAAAAATTAATTCCTTATACAAAATTGCTGAACGGGTCGATTCATTGGTAAAGTAAATGTTTTTGTTTAGCTCCAAGTTTTTTCTTATTATATCCTGTTTGCGACACCAAAAATAACACCTAATAATAGCGGTATGCAGGCAACTACCTGACGTGCAGTGTGTAAGTAGTCAACAGCGCACTTTACTTGATGCTTTCATTTTAAATTGAACTTTATGCCACGTATAATAAGAAAGATTCAAAATCCAGTGCCTAGCGTGTTGTTGATAATACCTAACGTATAAAACGTAAACATTAATTAATAATAATTGTGTAAAACGCAATAATATCTACTTACATAAATTTGAAATAAATACAGCAAGTCAGCCCAACGCCGTCATTTACAGTACAATACGACACGACACGACACGATTGGAAATACCACCCTAATGCCAAGGACTTGAATATGATTTCTAGTGCTTAAAATCATATTCAAGTCCTAACTTGAGCATCGAGTAGAATTCTGGAATACGACCGTTAAAATATTGAAATTGTTTAATGATATCTCAGCTAGGCATCGTTAGGGTAAGTTCCGATAAATCGAACACGTTAACTAATTTTCATTTAAATTAATGATGTTTAACTGCCTCCGTGGCCGAACGGGTACCATGCCGGACTGCCACGCAGAGGTCCCAGGTTCGATTCCCGGGCCGGGAGAAATATTTGTATGGCCTACATTTATTTCTCTCGTGAGTTTGGGTGTAATTTGTGGTTGTCTATGTGTGTGTCCATGGCACCCGCGACACAGGGTTTCCCTAGTGCGGGGCTATGTTGATTGTGAGCGTTATTATTGTGAGCGTTATTAATTTTAACTGTTTTTGAAACAGAATGTTGTGCTCTAGTTTTCGCTATTTAAAACGGATATTTGACCATTTGTCACTTAGCTGCGTAGCTTAGATTTAACATTCACCGGGATATAACTTTCACAGCAAATTAAATTACCTACTTCCATTTTAAGATGAACATCTGTCTAACAGTAAGTACCTTCTTTAAACAATTGCGAGGTCAGATATCTGTACGATATCTTATACATTTACCTGAGCTCAGTCCTCTGCGCTTTTTGTGAATTTAGAAATGCTGTTTTACAAGCACCTCCCCAGATTGGGATACAGTACGATAAGAGAGGAAGCTAAGGGCGTTGTACCTAAGATACTTAGGTTCGCCGAATACGTAGTTTTCAAATGCGAAAATAAGTAACTTAAAACTAAAATAAATAACGGAGTAGGTCCTCGCGCGGGATGACAAGTTTGGTAACAAATGTGATAAATTTAGTTTTCCATATATTTAATTAAGGTGAATAAATGCGTACTGCAAAGCTAATTATATCCGCCCAGTTGTTACCAGAAGCAACTAATGCCGTGTCCGCAACGTAGGCAACAAAATTACGACAATTAAAATACAGCACAAGTCGTGAAATTTTATTATTAAAAATTCTTTACCTGCTTGAAAATACATAACAAGCCGAACAAAAGGGAAATAGACAGGAGTTCAAATATAAATAGAATCACTGGGTCTTAAGACGATATCTGTGAGCACAGTTGTTGAAAAAATGCCAAACATATTAATAATCCTAATAAAATCCCCGATTTATTACATTTTTTTATTTGAAATATATCGCCAAATTACATGACTATCAATGACGGCTATAATATGAGTTCCGATCATTCTGTCATAACTTTAGAACTCAGTGAAAATGTTGTTTGTAGAGAAACAAAACCCTCTTTAGTTCACAAGAAAACTGATTGGGCAAGCTTCAAACGGGATCTAGATGATCTTGTCTAGCTCAACGTACCATTGAAGACACCGGAACAGCTAGATATGGAGATGGGAAACATTGTTACGCATATTCATGAAGCTGCATCTAGAAACACTCCCAAAATTCGTAGGCGGACTAAAGGCCCCACCTATCCCAAGGAAATAACAAATCTATTAAAACTAAAACGAAAGCAAAGGAAACGTTGGCATCAGAGCGGGTCACCAGATAATAAGAGATTGTTGAACACGCTTACAAAAAGATTGAGGAGACAAATAAAGAGCTTTAAAGATGAGTCCATGAAGACTTATCTACAACATCTAACGAATGATCGATCTATAGATTACTCACCCTGGAAGGTAACAATAATCTTGAAAAAAACCGATAACTCAAGTCTCTCCCATTAGAGAGTCAAACGACACGTGGGCCATAAGCAATGAACAAAAGGCCAAAACGTTTGCTGACCATTTAGAAAAAATATTTCAACCAAATCAGTCAGAATCTACTGATTAGGTTCTAGGAGAAATAAACTCGTCACAACAACAAGCTGGAATAATAAAAATTGTTACACCCAGGGAAGTACAAAGAGAAATAAAGATGAAAATTAATAAAAACAAATCTCCAGGATACGACATTATTTCTGGCGAAATTCTACATAATCTGCCTCGAAAAGTAAAAGTAAAACTGGCTACACTAATAAATGCCGCTTTTAGATTAGAATACGTTCCTGAACTGTGGAAAGCTGCAGAAATAATAGTGATCCGGAAACCAGGTAAACCGCCTCAAGATGACGTCTTACAGGCCTATCTCATTATTACCCATGATGTCAAAGTTATTTGAAAAGTTTCTACTCAACAGACCGAAACCAATTCTATGCAAAGCATGCAAATCTTTTGGAATCCTATTTAACCAGTAGGTATTTCAGAATTAGACAAGAAGACGCATATTCATAGCTAAAAGAAATAAAAACTGGAGTGCCACAAGGAAGTGTCTTGGATTCTTTACCTTTTATACAAACGATATACCCGACCCAATTGACAATACCATTGTTATATACTGTTGCGGATAACACAGCCATTATTGCTGTAGGAAACAACCACAGGAAGCGGTCAGCAAAGTTTAAAAAGCCATTAACCAATTCCATGAGTAGACCAAGAAATAGCGAACAAAGCTAAATGAAAGTAAATCAGTGCACATTGACTTCAGTTGTCCATTCCATTGTACATTGGAAACAAACAGGTACCCTACGCAAATGCCGACAAATATCTCGGTATGACCCTCGAGGTGAAACTACGCTGGAAAGCTCACATCAAAAAGAAAAAGAAGAATTAGACATACGTTTAAAGAAAATGTATTGGCTATTTGGCAAATGCTCTTCACTATCGGTATGCAACAAAATAGTAATGTATAAACAGGTCCTTATGCCAGTGTGGACCTATGGTATCCAGCTCTAGGGCTGTGCCGCTAAACGCAACATACAGACAACACAACGCTTCCATAATAAAATACTGAGGACAATTGTGGGTGCTCCTTGGTATATACGAAATGAGGATAGATCTGTATCGTGATTTGGATATAGAGCCTGTAAATAAAGTGATCATAAAGAACGCCAAAGCTCACGAATTAACTAACGAAAATAGACTTCATCATCACGTGAACATAGAGGCTATACAGCAACAGCAACAGCTACTAGACAGTACAAATATAGTGCGTAGACTACAAAGAACTAAACCTTTTGAGTTAGTGTAGTTAATCATAGTGAATAAAATAAATATTAGTGCCAGTACTAACTAGACTATGAACACACAAACAAAGTGTCTTCCCCTTAACAAATATTAAAAGATATTTTGTCGATGAACAATTTCTTTATATAAGTTACTTTTCTTTTAAGAAATTATGTTAAATTAAAATGGCTTATTAGTCTTGTAAAATGGCTAGATTGTAATTAGTTATAAGGTTTTGTTTTGGTTTTTAAGAAATAAAAATACATATTTCGTTGTGTGTGTCGCGGGTGCCATGGACACACACATATACAACCACAAATTACATCCAAACTTACGACATTTTATTGCGTTGATCATCATACTCTTATTAGGAAGCTGGAACATTACGATGTAAATGGCAAGGCGTCGAAACTTGTCTCGTCATATCACAATGGTAGAATTCAGAAAGTAGACATAAATGGAGTGACTTCTTTGGGTTCTCCGGTAAAAATGGGTGTACCGCAGGGCTCAATATTTGGACCTTTCTTATTTCTGATTTATATTAATGATCTGCCATTCTTTGTTAAGGACCATTGCGAAATAGTGTTGTTTGCTGATGACACATCCTTGATTTTTAAAACAGACAGACATGACATTAACTATGACCATATTAATGATACCCTCTCTAAGGTAGTTTATTGGTTTAATGCTAACAATTTATTGATTAATGCCAAGAAGACAAAATGTGTTAAATTTAAATTACCTAACGTAAAATCGACTAGTCCAAGCATAGAAATAAACGGATAAAAGTTAGACCTTGTTAATAAAGCAGTCTTCTTGGGAGTGACTTTAGATAGTGAACTTCAACGGTTTCCACATATATCTTCCCTGGTCAGCAGATTAAGCTCTGCTGCATACGCAGTCCGCAGAATACGTGAGTTTACCGATGTTAGTACTGCTAGACTAGTTTACTTTAGATACTTCCATAGTATAATGTCCTACGGGATTCTCATGTTGGGTAAAGCGTTTCAAACCATATTTGTATTGCAAAAACGAGCGATTCGTTCTGTGTACCGTCTAGGCTCTCGGATTTCTCTAAGAGAAAAGTTTAAGGAGACTGGTATCATGACTGTGGCATCACAGTACATTAACTTAAATATTTTATATGCCCGTAAAAATATACATAATTTCAATAAGAAAGAAGATATCCATAATATTAACCTTAGAGCTAAGTCCAATGTACTAAGTACTAATGAGCTAAGTCTCATGGTACCACGATTTCGTTTAACCAAGGTAAACAACTGTT